TCAAAAAATTATGGCGCTGTCATTAACTGTTTGGTTGCTATAGCAACGTAAAATTGGCAACATCTGTATACCATCTATTACGGAAATAACAAATTCAAGRGTTAGATATGGTTTGTATGACTAAAGTGTCCGTGTAACAAATCTGAAGGAAAGTAATAAAATACCAATATCGGTCTTCGACTTTCGTAAGACTTGCGACTAGAGTGAGGAGGTACTTGAATAACTAGTTGGTACGATTATGTATTCTAAAGTAATCAAATCTCACACCAGTATTGTGGAGATTCTGCAAAGTAGGGATCTGACTAGTTGACCAGTTCGCGGAATACCCCTGCATTTTGGACTTTGTCCGATTTCGAACATCGCCGTGTGTACCACAGTACAATCAGAGATTAGTAGTACAATCAGAGTTAGTATATATTAATCTCTGGTACAATCAATCCAGACCAACGACTACTATTAGCAGAGACTGCTAATCTCTGCAATTATCAATAGAACCGGAAAGTAATTCATAAGTATTTTAAAATATCTTTWAAATGTTTTATGGGCGAGAGCGAGGACCATGAAAGTCCTCGTCTTCCTGTTGGCGCCAAGCGCGGCAAAGAACAGGTTGAAATGGCCGCCGTTATTGTGCTTGACTGGCATAGATGAGATAGAGAGACAAATTTTATTCAATTTAATGATGCAATTGCGTGATTACTTTGGCGACTATTTTACTTAAGTATAGTCTTTACAGGCTTAAAAACACTGATTTTGATGTAACAATATATCTGTTTTAAACGCATACAACTTTCATGGACAGCTTTTGCAGAAATTAAGATTTGAATTTTCGACGGATAAACTGTATGCCAAGTATTTATGCTGTAGTGAATGTAGAGATCATACAACATGGGATCAACTTTTGTATAGATTGTTATTTCAAGGCCACCTTGCATATTGCAAACTCACATTGAGATATAAGAAGATTTTAAAAATCCAGCAGTATGTTTGATGTCCTGATGGTTAGGAAAGTCCCTCGTATTATTCTACAGCTACGCTTATGCATCGCTAATTTACGATGTCACTATAAAGATAGTGTAAACCGTTGAAATGATAATAAGTGCATTAATAGGAAATTCAACAATGACCTCAATACGTTCCATTGCATTTTCTAGCTAAGACCGATTTTTCTTTGTTTCAGAATGCATAAAACATTGAAAATCCTGTCCGCTATCCTAGGATTAGCATTGGCTGTTCCAGCCCCCGATAGCAATGCGCCGCCTAAAGACACAGATCCGATAGTAGTTACTTCTTTAGGTCAAATTCAGGGAACTGTGATTCAGTCTAGATTAGGGAAACCCATTTATTCCTTTAGAGGCATTCGCTATGCAAAAGCGCCAGTGAACGAGTTGAGATTCCAGGTAAAAACTTTCTACATTTTTGGGTTCAGGGCCTGAACTGGGTTTCTTATTGCTTTACAGCCTCCAGTTCCAGTGGACAAATACGAGGGTGTTTATAATGCAACCGCTGATGCTCCTTTGTGTCCTCAACCAACATCAGACCCCACTTCAGAGGACTGTTTATTCCTTAATGTGTACTCAACCAAGGTAATTTTATTCCCTTTAAAAATCTAACTACTAGTTTTACTTAAATGGTGTAACTATAATGAATTGAAATTTTSTAAACTACATCGTCACTTTGTACAATATGACTCAAAATCATGTRCTTATCAGWTTAAAATTGTACTTATACAGGGTGTTCCAGCGGAATCTCCGCGATCGATACATGTCAAACTATAATCAGGAGAAATCTGAAAATAAGGCTGGAACAGTGAATCAAACACCGGTGTTTCCGATGACCAAAAAACAGTTGCTTGCGGCCTATTAAAAAAATAAAAAATCCTGCACATCCCAAAATCCGGCCTGTGCTAAATTTCGCACCGATTTCCATTTAAGATTAGAAATCAGGCCACCGATTAGCATAAAACGAATGCCCTTCAATGAGTTTGAGGGAACTTTCTAATGGAAACAGCGCCATTAAACAGTTAATATAATCATGTTTTCACGTCGAAGTTCGAAATTTACACGTTGAAGCCGAGGTCTAAAATCTGTTGAAAATGAAATTTGAACTCATTATGGCCCAAGTAGGGCTTGTGCATGTTCATGTCGGTAATCGGCTCGTTTACAGAATGCTACTTGGTGTCGGATTAGTCGTGCTTTGTTCGAATAGGGAAATTCCTGAGCAAAAATTGGCCTTCGGCGAAGATTGGACGGAGCGCGTTAGAGAAAAGAGAAGACTTTTATCAGACTTTTTCAAAAAACCATTTACTTTTTCTTCGCTTGTTCTAGTTTCGATTTGTGCTGCCAGATACTATTGAACAATGAAGTTTGCAAACATCTAGTTTTCTGGAAATAACACTTTAATTTAGCTAAAATCTCACACATTAGAACGTGGCTAACTTAGAATCGGCTGATACAAATCACTTCAAATTTTACCAGGGAATTAGAAAAGCATAAAAGTGTAACGATCCCGAATTTCGTTTGATTCTGAGAACTCGGTTTGTTTTGAGAAGCTTTCAACCATGTGGCTGGCCAGAACTGAACACTGAAACAGCCCATTTACAAAAAAAAAACGTTTAAAAACCGATTGCTGAAATTTCTGAAATTCTTTTTCTGAAAAACTTACAAACACAAATCAACGAAAACTACTCGGAGCTCGGTTTAGAAAACCTTTTACATACGTTTTCATGTAAAGCGTCAACCTAATACTTAAATCAGAGTAAATTGGAATCAACGTGGAAGATCCAGTGGTTAATTAGTGTCCAAATTCGAACTTGCTACAAATCAGTCAATAAAACTGGCAAAATCGCTAAGGAAGTTTGCTTGATGCCAGAATCCGTTCGCTCAAATCGCTTTAATTTTTTTTATGAAGATTTTATATGAAGATTAAGCTTCAAAAAACTAAGTTTTATTCGAATTAATTAGCTCAATAACATATGAGGAGTGTATAAACGCACGACTGACAGAACCTGAGTAGCGAAACGTACAGATATTTCTTCTCCAATTCTGCACACTTCGATTCGATAATGGACTTTTTAGATTAGAGGAATCCCAATTTTATATTTTTTACCTTGTAAAGGAGTCATTTAAAACATCGGAAACTTTGTGGATTTTGAAATATCGCTTCTTTGTTGTCAATATGTATATCGTTCTCCGATATTTCTTAAAGAAAAAATATGTACTACTTGGTTCAAGTTGATATCTATCTCTCACTGTTTTTGAGACATTGCACGTAGGTATACAAAGTATCTCAACACAGTAACAAAAATTTTGGATTCACATTGCAAATTTACTTGTAAAGGAGCTACACAATCCACACAAGGAGTGCCTCTTGCTAAACAATTATTCAGTTGGGTTGCTCATTGAATAACGGTATTAATTACCTTTCAGTTACCAAAAGAGAACGACAAGACTGTAAAGAGGCCAGTTATTGTTTATATTCATGCAGGCGGATTCTACAGCGTAGGCTCTGCAAGTTACTGGGAAGGCCCTCAATACTTCATGGACCAAGATATAGTGCTGGTAACATTCAATTACCGACTAGGAACTTTAGGTAAACCGTTTCATGATGACTCAATTCAAATTTATTACTGTTATTTCTTTAGGATTTTTGGCAACTGGAGAAAAAGAAGCTCCGGGAAACAATGGACTGAAAGACCAAGTGCAAGTCTTGAAGTGGATCAACAAGAATATTGAAGGATTTGGTGGCGATCCGAATTCCGTCACTTTAATGGGCTACAGCGCTGGTGGTGTTAGCGTTGTTTTGCACATGGTTTCTCCTTTATCTGCAGGTATGTATTTTTTATTTTTACATACACTTTTGTGACTCTGAACCTCGAAATTTCGATAAAACGTCTAACATATTTTTTGAGAAAATGATGTCGGCAAAAATAAAAGAAATCGCGGTTTTGAACGCAGAAATGAACGCGTACTGAACAAAGCGAATTACCGGAAACAAAATAGTGGACACTGCATATTGATATATTTCTTGCCACCGATGACAAAAATATTTTTTTAGCGAAAACTATGCTGAATTCACCCAGTCAATAATAATTACAAAATTTTCTAATATAATAAAGAAACCCTATTGCTAATGACTAGTCGGAGGTAGATAAGAATCTACGCACCACAAATACCAACTTTTAAATTTCGTCTTCACACTATACAAGGTGGTACAACCAAGACGAGGTGGAAGATTTCTTTAGACTTTACAAAACCAACTAACTAGCAATGTTTCTGGGACACATACCGTTGCAAACGCAACTAAACATGTTTTTTCAAGATGCGCGGCTCATTTAATGCTCGGTTAGTGTGCGACAATTTTTACGCAACGCTTATTGCAAGATGCAGATGGATAGAGCGAAATAAAAGACATTAATAAATCTGAGGGCGAGACAGTTTATTTCCGTGGCCATCTAGGTCACCTAACTTCTCGTGTATGGACTATTTGTGGTGGAGAAAAAATAATTTCTTTTCCAAACAGGACTTAATAAATACACTTAAGGATGCRATTCATTGCAATAGAAAGTGCTGTTTTATCTACGAGAAATAAGCTTGTGCAAAGCATTCAAAATAACGAAAAACACTTTCATCATTTAAGCAGGCTTTAATTTAATTTCATTTGTAGCAATACTTGTAAGGCTTTAAATAAAACAACTGTAATTTCATTGTTATTGCTAAATTGTATCTATCTTTTCACTATTTTATTAAATTTTTTGTCGTCTTTCTAACCAGGTAAAATATTGTACACTTAAAATAAAAACTAGAAGAAAAACGTAAGAAGCAATCACAAGGGCGAATATTTTACAGCAGACGTTAAACTAAGTAAAAAGGTTTTTAACTGGAATTTAAATGTTTGGAATTTGGTTAAGCCAATATCGAGATACAATAACTGTTTGAACCAATATGTAGATGGTTATACAGGGTGATTCAAAATTGGCGTCATTCCTCTGGAGGTGTTGTCTGGCGGTGTTTTAGGAGTACAGAAAAAATAGTTAAACAAATTAATTGTTATTAAAAACTGAAAAATTTGCAATAAAACTATATAAAAAAGACGGCAAAATATTTTTCAAGGTAATCTGCCTAATTAACATTACGGAAATACCTGTTGTTTCTCATGTCACATTTATTTTGTTTGCTCGAAATCTATACGATCAATAGTAGATATCTGAGATACATCCGAACATCTCCATTAGGCTACTGAGTTTTTCTAACTTCATAGGCAATTTAAGAAAATTAATACTTTGTATGATGGCAAACACAAACGCAATTGACACGCATATTATGAATACTTTCAGTGGCGTGCGGTGAAATTTGAAGAGGAAGCAATTCAAAATTCGTTATCGTAGCAGCGTTTCGCAAACTTTTTCGATAATGGAACACTTTGCAAACCCACAAATTTTAACGGAACACTTGGTTTATTTTGTGGATTTCTATTGAACTTTATTTTAACACCAATAAAAGTTCACCACATTTTTTATGAGCAACGGCTTTCCACTTCATAGAAACTAAAAAAAAAGTATGAAGTAAATAGGGGTGTGAAACAAATGTATTCGGGGAACACAAGTTCAGGTTCAGCGGAACACAGTTTGCAGTTTGGGAAACTGTGATCTAGATAATAGCTCTTTCTCCAGACGCACTCGATTTAATTAGTAACAAGTATTTAATAACAAATTGTTAGGCAAACTAACGCCAAATTAGTTAGTTTCATCAGTGTGTAAGTTGTTCGTCTTCTTACAACTCAATGTGAGCTGACTCAACACCACAGCATAAAGATTGTACAGCAGCGTCACTCTCGAGGCGGCACTTTGATCTTGTTACCGACTTTTCATTGACCTTGAACGAATATGATGTTCAGCGATTGAAGTGTTTTCAAACGATAGAAGGAAATAAGCCAGTACAGGATTGTACTTTGCGGTGTGGTAAAGAAATACGGAGACACACCTGTTTTTTGCACATTGAACCAGCTGATTAGCACACGAGTTAACACCATCAATAGCCGACATTTTTTTTTTATTTTATTTAAATCTTAAGAAAATTTGACTGTTAACAACAAAATAGGCACCAAGCTCTGGTGGTTTTCAGCTGACGGTCTTGACGGACTTAAACAGTTGCCCTTAAAATGTATTAAAACTTCTAGCTTAACTTATTAACAAAATACACCTGCTGACAGGTCAGAAAATCTAATCTTAGAAATTAATGTCTTATTGCTCCCACAAGCTGCTTTTGCATTGCTTGCTGTGTGTTCATTTTCATTCATATAGGACGGCACTATGTCCAAAGGGCGGGACTTCACGGTAAGGGTGTAGCAAATAAGGGTGTCCTCTGCATGCTGAAATTGAAACAGCATGTCCTGCGCAAACTTGAAATTTCTGAAGAGCGACGCTACTGTATAGTATTTATGCTGCATCACGTTTGACTGTGGCCAAAGCACAGCTTGCCAAAGCGCCCCTTTGCTCTTGAACAAAAATGGGCGCCCGGCCGATATGTCTACATATTTTTAGTATGTTGAACGACTACTTAATTATCAACAAACCTGTTTTATAATCAGACGATGTAAGTAACGTTTCAAGTACAAAAAACGAATGTGTTTACAATTTTCAAGAACCTCGACGTTTTATATTAGTGACATAAAACGCAGAGTTTGTTTATTCGTTCCTGCAGTTTCATCAAAACACACAAGTAAAGAAGGCCATTTGGGCCCTACAGGCGCACCGAAATAAACATACTTGGACATGTAATTTTTATTCGTTATGGATAAGCGAAACTAGTTTACTTATGTCTAAATTTTGAAGATTTAAATAAAATTCGCCTAAAAAAGTACAAATAATAACAAGCCAGAATTCGAGCAAAAACTGGACCTGGATGAGCCCTAAATATTTTTTTAACCTAAGGGCCATGCAGCCCTTAATTAACGGAGATACATTAAGAGGGAGGACTTGAGAACAAAAATTCAGAAAAAAATACGGTTAGATTAGTACAAGTAGAATGTCCCAGAATACAAAACGGCACTTGCGCCTCTGTAAGAAAAAATAAATAATCAAACAATACATTTCAGCTTAATATTGAAACCAAAAATTGAGTACCAAGAGATACAAGATTAAAAACATGCTAGTAATATAACTATCAAATTATCGTTTTTAATAATGAGAACTGTAAGAAAGGACATCAACACTTTCAGTCTGAGTCTTTATTGTTTCACATTTTACTTTTCTACATTTGATTTTCATGTTTTTTTTTTTTTTATTTACCTATGCAATATATTTTTGTAGAGGTAATTTAATTTTGATATCTACTCAATCCCAATAATTGCAAAAAATTACTTGCTACGTCAATGAGTAAAACAGATACATACTCATAGGTACCTACTGATGTTAAAATTTAGATAAGATGCTCGAATTCCGGTTGTCTTAGTTTATTTTTTTATTAAACCTTTGTAATATAGTTAAGCACGTTTTAAAGCAGTGCGTCTGATAATGATTGTCGTTTACTTCTTCATTTAGCTCTCGAACTATATTGTATGGTTGCTTAAAAATATACTTTTGTCGGCGTGGATGCTCTGAGATTAATATTATTCGATGTATTTCGTAGACAAGTTTATCAACAGTGTCGTTATGGACTGAAATCTCTATATATATAAAAATGAAAGTATGTCTGTTTGTCTGTCCATAAAAACTCCAAAATTTAACCATGATCGCACCGAGCTACACGGCTGAAATTCTGTATGTTTCTTCGTTTATTGGAGAGTAACTTCCTGACAAAATTTCAACTTCCTAACTCTTTTAGTTTTTGAATTAAAATATATTTTTTATATATTTTATAATTTTGACTCGAGTCGGCAGCAGCTTGTAACAAAACACACATAGCGGGACAAAACCACTCGAAACTAGACCGTTGCCAGTTGTGTTGATAGTTTATTTAGTATCGCAAGAGAAATGGATGTGTTTGATGCCGACTTTCTTGACTTCCGAATTCTCGATACATTTAAAACTTGAGTTTGTGGCAAATATGGCCTTGGCTATTTGTTTGTCAATAAGATGTTTTTCCCCTGCTGAAGTTCGTCTAACGAAATTGGACATTGAGGGTTGGCTTTCACGTTTCTTTCTCTTGGAAGCCAACTCGGTAGTTGTTTGCGTGTAAGATGATGGAGATTCGGGAGGTGAGTTGGAGCTTGTCGAGGGAAATGAAAAGGAGGAAGAAGCACTCCCAGTCTCAAAAAAGTTGGGCGGAAGATCGATGTTTGCATTTGTTGTGGTGCCTTATTTCTTTTGTTGCCTCTTACAAACGTCATCGTTTGCCTTCAGTATTCGTACTATGCCTTGAATCTCTTTCTTACACTGTTTGCAAGTTGCTCTGCATCCTGACTTATTAGAAGAGGTGGTTTTGATGTAAAACTGCCAAATACTGTCTTCTTTTCTTCCAGCCATTGCGTTCTTTTCAAACTGACTTATTATTATTATACAAACACAAAAAATCTACACACTTTTCAACATTAGCGTCTCTTCAAATTTTGTGACGAAATGAATAAGACCGAAGAAAGGCGACGGCATTTTTAGATTAAGCCGGGCAACGTGCGAAAAAGAGTCGCGGGGCGTTGCGACAAGAATTTTCCGTCGAAAATCCGTTCGGACAAGTATTGAATCGGTTCAACTTCGTTTGAATAAATTTAATATGCTTTCTACAATGTTTTCATTGATGAACGCTTTAACAATCGTGCTTATTTGTTTTCATCTTTGAAGTTTTAAGATAACAATTCTTTAACATTTTGCAGCTTTAAAATATTCACAGTACC